TCGCAGCCTTCACTGGACGGTCGGTGAGCGCCGAGGGGCAGGCGTGGGCCATGCACCGCGGAAGGTCGCCAATATAAAGAGACCCAATTCATTCACGTGCTTCATCCACACGCAACTAGTCATCTGCAGTGAGAGATTAGAGAAAAACAAATTATAATATTTTATTGTTTACTATTAAATGAATAATTCTTGAAGTAATCACGTAATACAGCATGTGATAACAAGTCGAAAGAATTGTCACCTTCGCTTTGTGTACACCCAATTTCTCAACTTCCAATTTCTCAGTTACACCTGAAGCAGTTCGCCAGTTGAGAATAGGGGAAGAAAGATTTATGTTGGTCATATTCACGACTGACAATGAGTCACTTAGTATTTCTTGGACATCGCGAGTCACCGCAGAAAATCACAAAACATGAATAACTAGAAAGAAAAACATCAACTAATTAGAGGTAGACACCGATTATTTTCTTTTGAAAGAGTAGGCGTTGCGTGCGCTTGCTGGGAGATGAATTCACGATTGCCGCCGCCGGTCGTAACCTGAGGGCCACTTGAGCCATTGGGCGATAGAGCTGTGGTATGCAAAACCGTCCGCGGTTGCAGCCGCCAGCACAGAAGAACCCTGCGGGAAATCCCCGTGCGTCTGGTCAGTCGTTGAACCGGTCGCTTTCGTTCCCGCTTTGCCTCCTTGCACTCACAATCTTTCTTTACCACCATATTTATTTGTCCGTTTATAGTGTCTTTTTTACGCTCGTTTGGACTCTTTCTCCCTCACCCCACATATGTACGCGTGCACAATATACGTACACATGCGTGAATGATTTCGTTACTTTCCTCCGGTGGCGGCTTGTTGGGTGGTGCCAGAGTGTCATGGCACAACCAACAACCAGTGGTGCTACATAATGGCACAGAATTTCCCATAGATTTCTATTTCCTTTGGTCTGCCAGCTAAGCAGCCTAAAGTACTTTTTTTAAATGTGCTTAATTTTTTGGTTTGCTAATAGTAGAAACGATATTGTGGGTTCACAAGCGCGTACGTTCAAATGGTTATGGCACTGGACGCCGTCAGCACTAGCGTATCTACTTCGTTCAGGTGATCGACAAATGAGTCGATGTGGCCGTTGCCCGAACTCGCGTTTTCAGAGCGTTCGGCATTCCGAGTGTGACCGGCGACCCGTCGACAAGGAAACGGAACGTAATATTGGCGAGAAAAGATTCAAGGAAGGCGTTCGTCTGAACAGAATTATAAAAGCTCATTAGAGGTAGACGACGAAATGGAAATATATTATGCATAATACTAACATTACAGCGTGTGCATAAATAGAAAGTGCGTGGTTGATAGCAGATAATGTATTATTACACTATGTAATGGCGCCCCGTCCTGTATAGTGAAATATCGTACCTATATTTGTGAAGTAATATTTTGCAGCTTTTGATACCTTATACAGTGGCGGGTCGTAGTTACTCGCATGTTCGCATGTGCACACCCAAATTAATTCGGTGCAATTTCTCTTAAACATGTGTTAACAAGAGGGTAATACAAGTCCCCTCAAAGTTTCCTAAACATGGTATTTCGAAACATGCGCCGTTCGTAAGCTGCTATTATAGTCTCACTCGGGAAATGCGACCTGGCCAAGGCTGTCGTGGCTGCCAAGGGGCTGCAGGGGAAGGAGGGGGAACAACGGTGGCTAATGTGCGAATGGAGCAGCCGGGCGGCGATCGCCTCCTCGCAGATGCAGTTGCCATCTGCGAGTGCCTTCACTTGTCGCGAATACAGCGCTCGGCTAGCACATGTTTTGTGCTTTGAGAAGGGAGTGCGACACTGACAAAAGAAAGTGTGAGATATCTCTCCACTTAAATGAGCACTCATCCCTTCCAAAGCTGTTCCTTGTTATCGCGCGAAAAGCGAACTGCATTTCTGTGCAGTGATGAAGTCATAAGTATTGAGTTAATCGAATGCTATGTACATTTTCTTATGTTTCAAAGCGAGTTGCAGTTACAAATCCATTCCGAAGCAAACCCAAATGTAAACCAAATGTATTTTGTAAAAGTATGTAGTATGCTACTTTGTAATTGGTTTCGAAAAATCGAAGCTAAAGTGTTCATTTTTCTGTCCAATGTGTTTGTCTAACTAACAGTGAATAGCGTCAAAACATGAAAATGACATCAATGAAAAAATTACAGAAAAAATTGCTGAAAAGAAAGTGTGTACTGCATCGACACAGATTCTGGAAAGTCTCGAGTCATCATGAAGTAACACTACCCTATTCGTGAAAATTTCGGAGGGGCCTGGCCGAACGAAGTCTAAGCTGGCGTTGAGTAAAGAAATGCGGCCAACCCTCACTGCTGATGAAAGGAACTGTTCAGAATGCTACGAGTATCAAACTTCATAAGATGCCTTGTTTTTAATTGTCATTATTTATAATAATGAATTTACGTGTATGCTTGTAATTATGCCTGTATGTGTGTGAGCGAGCGAGTGAGTGAGAGAGGCTGTGAGTGAGGGAGGCTGTGTGGGAGAAGTGAGTGAGTGAGAGAGTCAGTCAAAGAGTGAGTGTGTG